ATGACTGTTGTAAAATTTTCAATTACCATTACCAAACAGCTTGTAAAAATTTATTCCATTAGTAAAAATTAATCGTAATAACAGAAAAATATTTCTTAACAAAGAGATTATAAATGAAATCAAGAAGAAGAAAAAAACTCTAATCTATCAATAGATTCTCTTTATGGACAGATAGTATAAAAAAATCCCAATATATTAAAGCAAAAAGAGATATATATAAACAAGTTAAAAAAGTTACAATAGAGTACGAAAAATACAAAGCTAAAAAAGCAAAATCAGATTCAAAACTGCTGCATAACTATATGAACAAAAAACTGAAAATTAAAAATTATTTAATATCAATTGAATATTTTAATACGTGCATCATTACGAACCAAAAGCAGATCGCTGATACTTTGAATGAATATTTTCAATCAGTATTTATAGGAGATAAAGATGATATTTTACCAAATTTTGAAAAAAAGTGTTTAAATTCACTTCAGTTTATTAGTATTACCTCAACTGAAGTTGTTAATATAATAAATGCTATAAACCCAAAAAAATCAGTTGGACCAGATGGGATTCATTCTTTTCTATTAAAGGAATGTGTAAATGCTTTTTCTAATCCTTTGACTTAATTATTTAACAAATCAATTTATGAAGGTGTAGTACCTATTTCACGAAAGACAGCAAGCATAACGCTGCTGTTCAAAAATGGCAGTAGAGATAAAGTTTCAAGTTATAGGCCAATTTCCTGACTTTGTAAAACTTTAGAAAGTTTAATAGGCTGAGTGAATAAAAAAGAGCAATTACTTTTACTCAGTAATTGGTCAGCTTTACGTGAATAAAAACTTTAGCAATTTTGCTTAAGTTTTTATTTACGTAAAGCTGAGCAATTACTGAGTAAATTGTTTAACTTTCCGTGAATAAAAATTTGAGGAAAACTGTTGAACTAACCAACTCTTACATTATTTAAAGATTAACAACTTATTATTTTCTAATCTAATTCTAATTCTATAATCTAATTCTAATCGGGGGCTTAATGATAAGATGAACGGGGGCTCAATGATAAGATGAATTTTGTCTTCTTCAAGCCCCAGTCATGTAAATATTTGTTTTTATAAATTACGAGTGTAAATTATTTTCAATCGGCAAATACAATACTAAAAAAACTAAAAAAAAATCAGCATGGTTTTATAAAAGGCAAAAGTTGCACAACTAATCTCCTAGAGTACATGGATATAGTAACAACAGGTGTTGCAAATGGTAAATCGTTTGATATCCTTCATACTGATTTCAAAAAAACCTTTGACAAAGTTTCACATAGGAGATTAGTACTAAAACTTGAAGCATATGGCATTACATCTACGTCATTGAAGTGGGTAATTTTTTTTTTAACTGATAGGAAGCAAAGAGTTGTACTTGGAGAAAGTGTATCATCATGAGTAGACATAGTAAGCGGTGTACCATAAGGCTCTGTGCTTGGTCCAATTTTATTTTTAACATGCATCAATGATCTTCCAAGTCAACTTACAAACAAATTGTTGTTGTATGCAGATGATTACTTTACAAAATGACATTTCTATGTAAGAAAAATGGGTAATAAACTGAAAAATGCAATTCAATTTTGAAAAATCATGCATATTGGTAACAAAAATAAAAATAATAAATATTTTATGATTAACAATAATTTAAAGCAAGAATTAAGTAGAACTAAATTGGAAAAGGATCTAAAATGGGAATGACTTAAAATGGGAACCACAAATCAAAATTGCATCATCTATCGCAAACTATAAATTTGATATAATATGCAAATCATTTAAGTATAAAAATAGTGAACTAATAAAATTGTTGTATTGTAGTTATATACGGCCGCATTTAGAATTTGCAATACAGGTATGGAATCCTTATCTTGAAAAAGATATAAATATATTAGAAAAAATTCAAAAATGAGTAACGAAATCGGTACCTGAACTACGTCATCTATCATACAATGAAAGACAAGAAAAATGAAACTAACATCTTTAAAATAACGAAGAATACAAGGAGATCTCATACAAAGGTACAGATAATAATATGATATAAAGAAAATAACTTGGAAAATACCCCCTCGACATTCGTGCTCTTTAAATTCTTCTAGTCCGTATTCAAACATTCGAGGTAATAAACATCATTTATTCACCGATAAGAAATATTTAAATCAAAATCGTGAAGGTTTTTTTTACAAATCGCACAGTCAAGTTCCGCAACAATTTACCAATTGAAACAGTCAAGTTCTGTAACAATTTACCAATTGAAACAGTGGAAGTAAAAATTTCAACTCATTTAAAACTAAACTAGACTTAATTGACGATCTTTAACTATCTTGTTATTTCTGTAAAAGATTTAACATGGCGTTAAATCTCAACAGTATTATTATATTATTATTATTATTATTATTATTATTGTTATTATTATTATTATTATTATATAATAATAATAATTTTCTTTTTTTTAACAGATTTGTATTTTTAATTTTTTTTTTCTTTTTTTGACTATTGGCGACTATTTATATTTTAAATACTACATATTCTTTATTCTTTATATATATATATATATATATATATATATATATATATATATATATATATATATATATATATATATATATATATATATATATATATATATATATATATATATATATATATATATATATATATATATATATATTTATATATATGTGTGTGTGTGTTTTTAAATAATATATCTTTTTTTTTACTAATTGAGGGTATTTGTGCATTTAATATATATATATTTTTTTTTCTCTATTTGCATTTTTTTAATATTATAATCGTTGTTAATTTAAACAGCAAAATAAATTAAAAAAATTGAAAAAAATAATAAAATAGATTCATGATGATTCATTCAATGAAAATTGATTTTATTCTGATTAATTTTAAAAAAAAGGTCACCCGCTACACGAAAATTTTAAAATGTTATACAAGAAGAATTTTCAGGCAGAAGCATTATAACTTTCTGAGGCCTAGAATTTTCTTGAACCTTATGGAACTTTCTAGAACTTTCTGGACTGTTCTGAATGTTTTTAGAAATTTCTGAAACTTTCTAGAACTTTCTGGACTGTCCTGGAAGTTTATGGAAATCAGCAAGGTTTAGACTATATAAGCTACCTGATTGAGCAACGCTAATAACTATTTATGAATTTGTATTAGCTATATTTAGAAAGCTGGTCACTGCACTTTGATGGTAAACCATAAAATCAACCAGAACATCAACCCAATAGGCATGCGTCGCCGGATGGACGTCCTTCAGACGACATACGGACATGGATATCCGTGAGACGTCTAATAAACGCATGCCCACTGGGAAGTCTTAGTGTTGATAAATAAATAAAGAGAAGTTCTTAAATTAATCAAAAACTAAAGTAATTAAAACCGTATAGCTGAACAGGTAAAATTACAACGGAGGGATCTTTTAAAAAAATTGTTTTATTTAACTATTTTTTTTTGTATTTCTTTTTTTTTTTTTTTTGTATTTCTTTAATTTTACTGTTTAAAAAAAATAATCAATATACATATATACAAGAAAGAAAAAATATGTCAGTAAAATAAGATAGACAAGATAAATAAGTCAGTAAAATAAAAGGCAAGCACCTTTTTTGTATATAAAATATAATATATAACTTTTTATTATTATGATTTTTATAAAATAAAGAATTAAACAGACAGGGACTCAAGAAGATTAAGATGATAATACGTTTTCGCAATATTTTCATAGAGCCCCTAATACTGTATTAATAAATTTTTTTTTTGAACATTTTTGTTGTTTAAATGTCAAATTATAAAATAAGAATAAGTAACTTAAAACTAACAAAAATAGAAAAAAAATATATATATAAATAATTTAGAATTAATAAATAGCTGTGAAAATCGGAAGAGGATGTACAAAAATTTGTTTTCGACAAAAATATTTTTTACGTAATCGAAACCTAACAAAATATTTGAAAACAAAACGAACTCTGTTTGTAAACCTATTTTAGTTTTTAACTATTTTTGTAGAATTTTAGTTGCAGTAAAATCTTTTAAATATTAAAATTTTTTGTCTTTTAACGTTTTAAACTTTAAACGTTTTAAACATTTCTTTGTAAAATTTGTTTTTCTCAGAAAAAAAAATCTTCCGGTGGAAAAGAGATTTTCCAACAAAATAACTCTCATAAAAACATGTAAAATAAAACAATGTAGATGCAGATAAAGCAAAAAACAAAATGAAAAAGACAAGGTAAATTACAAACAAATAAAAAATAATAATAATGATCATAAAAATAATAACAAAATCGGTAAAAAAATAATTCTTTATTTAATAATTAAAATGCACAGTGGGGAACTTTTTTTTATTATTTGTATATAATGAGTAGTATTCTATATATTATTTTTTTTCTTAACTTCTATATAATAAACTCTACATCATCTATATCAAATCAGCTTTAATAGCAACATGTAGAGATAAACAAGAAACCGTTAAGGTTTTAAAAACTTAAATTTTTTTAGTGTTAATTTGTCCATTATGCGACTTATGAAATAAAATTGCTATGCTATTTTATCTTTTAATTAAAGAAAGAAAAGGCTTGCAGTCTTGTTACTACTGGGGACTGGGGAGAAAATAAAATGCAGAAAACAAGCCCATTAGTTATTATATTTGATGCATGTATTGTACGCATGCGTTGTTCATTTTAGAAATTAATTTAATTTAGGGAAACAATTAAACATTTAATTATAGGGATTAAAAATATCTTAAAACAGAAAAAAGAAATTGTAACAGAAAATATTTTAATTGATAAAAAACGTTTATCCTTCGGAAATTGCAGAAATTCTTTTCAACATTTACTAATTCATTAGATCATCAACTCAGACTGAAAAGATCAAACTTTATTTTGCTATTTTCAAATTATGTATACTTCATACTTTTTTGTTAAATAGATCCCGAATAACTTTTTTAAGATATATTTTTTAATACAATAGCTTTCAATATATAGTTTTATGAAATTTGTCTTTAAACTGTATTTTCTCCGGTAAATAAGGAATCGAGTTGCGTTTTTGAAAATGGGCGCATGAACCATTGATTGTAAAAATATGATTTTTTGAGGAATGGTTAAACCTTTTTTTACGGTAATCGCCTTTTGAAAAGTTTTTCAAATACTTTGGGTGTATGCCCCAATAGTTTCCTCTTACATTACGCGCCCTTCCAACTTTTATAAAGCATTCACTTAACGATAAATTATGACGAACACAGTTTTTCCATCCTTTGCCTTTTGAAAGAAACTGTGGAAAATTCTCGATAATATATTCATATATACATCCAAGAGGAAGTTTTTTTTCTTTTGAACTAAGTATGGCTTGAGCAATGATGGCGGTATATGATTTGGGATACTTTTCATCATTTTTTAAAAATCCATTCGCTTGTCTTCGGTATGTACCATCTAGTTCTTCATTCAAGTGAAGAATGTTTTCAATGTAAAACTGCGTTATAGAACTTGCTTTCATAACATTGCTTTGAATTTGATTTTCTAATACGTTGATTATTTTTTCCATCTTTACTACAATAAGAATCAATTTTCAGTAAAGTTAAATGAGTTTTCAAAACACCAAATCTTGATTTATTTGTTATTTTTTATGGCAAAAATAAACTGTTATAGTGTAAAACCACGGGGTATAAGAGTTTGTGATTGTTTGTTTATAAGAATCTCGTTGGAATTAATTTTTCAATTCATCATATTTTTTATTTAAAAAATCACTTGAGTTTTTTATTTGACTTTTTATTTATCTCTAAGGAGGCAAGTGAGTGTAAGGTGTACAATAGAACAATTAAATTTTTAGGAATGATGTAAAAAAAGATCCATACAGGAATTGTGCAAAACGTTATATAGAATTCTATAATCTAGCTTTCTGTGACTTAATTTTTGTTGATAATTTTTTAAATTGAATGTTTGCCATTAAAATTATTGACATCAATCACAATTAAAAGTTTTGATCTAAATATTTTATTAGGTGTAGGTAAGTAAAGCTGACCATGACAAAACTAGGTAAAGCTGGCCATTATGACGAAACTAAGTAAGCTCGTCATTATGAAAAAAGTAAGCTTTTAACCAATGCAGAAAAATTATTTTGATTGAGTTTGATGTACCTAAAACTTAAAACCATAAAAAAACCCTTCACTTGACTAATCTGGCGTCATCTACCATTATAATATCTTATCACAGCCATAGCTGAATGTATCGCGAAGCTTCATTAATATAAAACAAAGCGAACAAAAAAGGTTTTGATTATCTTTGATAATTTTTAATTAATCAACTTGTTTTCAAAGACTCAATATTATTTAGTTATACATATATATATATATATATATATATATATATATATATATATATATATATATATATATATATATATATATATATATATATATATATATATATATATATATATATATATATATATATATATATAATATGAAACAGATGATGCGTTGTAAAGTTTGCGAAAATAATGTTGACAGCGTAAAATAATGTTGACAGTTAAAATAATAAACTCTTAAAAAATCTCTGACTTAAACTTATTTATTAAAAAAAAGACAATAATAATAAAATAAATAACAACCAAACAGATTTTTTTTAAAAATAAAATCCAAACAGGTTTTTGGCAATTTTTCTTTTTTTATTCAGATATCAAAAAAGATATATATATATTTATAATTTGATAAAGAAGCGCTACATCAGGCCTCTACACCAGGCCACTACATAAAGCCTCTAAACCAGGCCTCTCTATACTGACGAATATGAAGACACAGAAGCTGCAGACGAAGCAGCATTTGTGTCTCTAAAAATTACTTTGTTATTCTGCCTTTGAAAGCGTTGATCGATGGAACGTTCACAGCTGCTTAAGGCTATTCTATTTGTAAAAACGTTTTTCACAATTTCTCAATTGGCATTCTAGCTTATGGTTATATTCTATCAGGATATTCTATTTGAATGTTTTCGCGGGACAAAGAATACATAGTAAAAAAACCCCTTAAAATTATAATTATTATATTATGTAAGACATATACCTTACATAATTTAATTATCTTTGATATAAGTTACATGAAAAGTTACACTTATAATGAAAAAAATTGTTTTTTGGGAAAAGGCAACTTTTCCATAATTTCAAATTTGACGGGAAGAACAAAAAACCGATTTATAATGACCTGCTAAGAATTTGATAATTTTATTTTTATATTATTGTTTCAACCTATAAATATCTATTTTTAACAGTTACAACATTGAATAAGTTTATTTATTTACTTTTTTGATTATAAAACGATAAATATTTACAATTTTATAAAACCCCATTACCTCATAATAATATTTTATAATACAGATTACTGTTTTAACAAACAGCTACGTAAATATATAATGTTTTTTAGATAATGATAATATATTATTAGAACTAGGTAATAATTAACAAGTTGAATAATGGCTTATGTTTTTTTTAAAGTTTTACTAAAGTTTAAGTTTCGTAAATATATTTTAAAACAACCATTTGTTTTTTTTAGAGATTTTTAGTAAAAGTTTTTTTTTTTTTTTTTTTTCACGTTTTTCAAAATTTTAAAAAACTTTTTTTGAGATTTGACATGAGATAAAAACCATTTAAAACGAATTAAAAACCGCTTTTTTTATTTTTTGACTCTTTTTTTGTTTTTAGATATAAAACGTTCAAAAAATGAGAGGTTCTAAACTTTATATAACCGTATCTTTGAGTAACAAAATATATTTTGAAATCTAATTCTAAAATGATCTTATAATAAAATTTTAAAAAATCAATTTATATTTTTCAAGAATTAATTTCTTATAACCAGGGAACACTAGGGGCGTATTTAAGTCACGAGGTTTCTCCTTTGAAACAAGTAAATTTTTTTTCATATTCAAAATATTGGAGATGAATTTGCGTTTGTTGTACCAACACATTATAAAAAAAAAGTTAGAATTTTCTATCTAAGGGTAGGATTTGTGATATACTAATTTTTAGGCATAATTTTTAGGTAAGGTATGACTTTTTATCTTCTAAAGTAGAATATTATATCTATAAAGGTTGAAAATTATATCTTTAAGAACAAAAATTGAATGGCAAATGATTATTTATAATATGATATTCTGAAACAATTATACGTTGCTAAATGTTATTCGCATATTTGCATATTCTAAGGTAGAAATTTTCTCAATTTTGTTGCAAGTGTTGATATTGATGGAGGACAGGGTTTCCTAAAGATTGTTATGAACGTGTTAGCATCACGTTTTCAATTAAAGAACCAAAAGTAAGCCGAGATCAACAAAGTAATCATACAAGGCATAGCTCAATATGAAGTGAAAAATAATATCGTAAAACACTCTTCCCACTTCTTCAACTCAATCGATTGAAATTTACGTTAACCTCCCACCTCAAACTCATCTACATTGTTCTTAGATTATCTGTAAGTACCTTTTTTTTTTAATCTTAAGTTAGGATGCAATACAAACTGTTGGTTTTAAAGTAATTTTTATTTTAAGTTTTAGAAAATGACTCTTACAAACGCTCTATTATTCATTCTGGAATAGACAACATGTTTGCTAGAGACCGTGTTTTTAATACTGCTGGCATATATATTAACGTAGTCTTATCCCTTAGTGACAAACTACGCATGCCCAAAAGCTTGATTTTTTTTTGTTTTTTTGTTTTACTAGCCAGTTGGTAGTTCTACTCAGTCTGATATAAAAGAGAACAGACAATATTTTACCGGTGTTATTAAACCGACAATATTTTACCGGTGTTATTAAACCGACAATATTTTACCGGTGTTATTAAATGATCAAATGATATAAAAGCTACTTGTCAAATAGAAAGCAATTCGTCTACCACGGAGAAGAATTGCTTACTAATAATCTTCAAAATAAAACATTAATTGAAATAAAATGTGGTGTTCCACAGGGTTCTATCCTTGGCCCACTTCTCTTTTTAGTATACGTCAACGATCTAAATAAGGCCTCGAATCTTATAAGCATCATGTTTGCCGACGAAACCAATTTATTTTTGTCAAACAAAGACATTAACAAACTTTTTTTAGATATGAATAAAGAACTTAATCAAGTTTCTAACTGGTTTAAATGCAATAAATTAACCTTAAATATTGAGAAAACAAAGTGGATCCTTTTCCACTCCTCAACAAAAAAACGCTTTTTGCCTTATGATTTACCTAAACTTTATATGGACAAAGTAGAAATAAAAAAAGATTCCGTTTTAAAATTTCTAGGTATTTATCTTGACGAAAATATGACATGGAAAGCTCATATTGATTATATATCAACAAAAGTTGCGAAAAGTATTGGTATCCTCTATAAGGCCAGAAATTATCTAAATAAAAATAATTTAAAACAACTATACTACTCATTTATTCATAGCTATATAAACTATGCAAATATTGCCTGGGGGAGTACAGGTAAAAGTAAGTTGCAACGTCTTTACCGCCATCAGAAACATCCAATGCGAATAATATATTTTTTAAATCGTTTTTCAAATACAAAACCTCTATTTAAAGATATGAACTTGCCTCAGAAACGTAAGATCCGTGGTTCAAACCCCACCTCTGGGCAAGTCTTGCGACATCGGTTGGGAAGGAGGCGTGAACTTCCCATTAAATGCTCTTCCGCGGTGCTCTGTGATAAGACCGTAAGGACTTCTTGGGGCACCTTAATCAACTTAAAAAAAAAAAAAAAAAATGTATTAAATGTTTATGAACTTAACTTGTACAATATTTTATGTTTTACGTTTTGTTGTATGAATAACTCCTTATTTCATGTTTTTAAAGAACTATTTACCTTTAAAGTAAAGAATAAATATAGTTTGCGAAATAATAACTATTTAAAAGAACCCTTTTGTCAAACAAAGTTTAATCAATTTTGTATAGATTATCGAGCACCTTATATCTGGAATAAAATTGTACAGCCTAATTTAGGTTCATCTATCTCTTTTTCTGTTTTTAAAAACAAGTTAAAGAACATTATTTTTTCTACGGATAATATATTGAAATATTTTTGAGATATTATTTTAACCATTTCTTATTTCAAATGTTTTGGATTCTTATTTTGTTATAAACTACCTGTATTATACTATATTATATTTATATTGTAATTTTTATATGGCTCTGGCGACAAGATTGATATGATCTTCTTCCAGATTCCAAGTTTATATGTTTATATTACATGGAAATCACGACATGTAAATAATGTAAACTGAAAAAAAAAAAAAAAAAAAAAAAAAAATTAATCTGCCATATGTTTTTCAATTTTCTTTTCATTTTGGGATCAATACAAAGTGTTGATTTTCAACCACTTGTTTTTTTAAATACTTACCTTTTCAAAGAAAAATAGACTGATATCCTTTGGCTTAAAAGAATTGAAACATCTGCGTACTGCTGTATTCTGAAGGGCTTTAGTTGTTCCTGGAAAACCCTTTATTCTGATTTCAACTATAATCACTAAAGATACAGTAGAGCAGAAGAAAAAAGGGATCACTTTATCAGACTCTCCTTTTCATTGGAAAAAAGACCGACAAGTAATCCCTATTAAGAACTTCTGCCGAAACTTCCAAACATAGAATCTTGATAAAAAATTTGAAACGCTTGGTCAACTTTGTCAATACTCATTTTTTGATCTAAAGATAAAATATAGTTAGGGAGATCTTCAAACTTTACTAGGTGTAAATTTGAAAAATTCAACCGCAAGTTTGATTAGGTTCTTTAACTTCCCCTATTATTTTTACATGTCATAGAACCAGTACTTTATGATTACTTTGTAATCAGAGCCTATTAAAGATCTTCAATAAGATGGATCTTCAATATTTTCAATTCTTAAAATTCGTGAAGTTATTGATTTTTCATAGTGTGTCTGGTTTGTTTCGTAAACAATTAAAATCTTTTTCTCAAATGTGCCGAAAGATTTTGTAAAATTCGGCTGAAAGTAAGCCATAACCCGGTAATTTTTCTTTAAAAGTTGGCCCAACCTCGATCTCTTACGTTAGAAGTGCATCGTATTTTAACGTTGGTCCAACGTAATATTATTATATATAAGAATCTTTATAATTTTTATTTAAAAGGTAACACGTGCTTACTATTTTACTATTCTTACGCAATGTTAATTAAAATATTACGGTGTGAATAAATTTATCGTGATAATCGAAAATTGGTTTTTATGCTGATTAAATAAGCAAACATGAATTTTATAACACAAAAAATCAAAGTAGGTGTAATAATAATTATTAAAATAGAAATTTAAAGTAGTGTACAGATTAGTGAAAGTCTTTTTTACAACTTAAATATAATTTACTTCTATAAGAAATAACAAAAATATGTAAAATATATGTACATAATACTATATACAATAAATGTAAAAAATAATAAAATCAAAATGATGTATTACCCGGATAAACATGGAGACAAAGAATCACATTTTTCCAAATCATATCTAAACAGAAATTTAAGTCTTTCTGAGTCTGTTGTGAAATAATGTTTATTAAAATCATTGTCATATTAATTTTTATTACTTCGAACATTATAATTTTCTCTTGTTTTGTTATTATCACTCTTATATACATTGTTGTCATAACAAATACTTCATTAATCATTAAAAATTTTACTGGTAAACAAATTATATTTCTAATCACAACTTTCAAAATAAAGTTCTTTTACACTTCTATCAACTTGCTCCATAACTCTTCTTCTATTTGTTCTCTATAAAGCAATTATTAGTGGAATAAAATTTAGCATCAGTTGCAACAAAATGTATGTTTTTAGTAGACTAATATTTTTATTTGATACTAATACAAAAAAAAAATTCAACTTTTCTCATCCAATCATTAAACGGTAAATATTTAAATTTCTTTAAATAATATTTTGTGAAAATATTATTTAAAGAATAGAGATAAAGTATTCTATACCTGTGCTCTCTATACAACAATTAGCGTGATTTCTTTTCACAACCACCTTGCCTTGTGGTTCAATCTTTTTTGATTCCTTTGATTCAACCATTTTTTAACCATTTTCTTCTAATGAGTAATTCAATCTGTTTATGCTTCAAAAACTTTCACAACTTCTTTGAATATCGTAAAAAAACTAAAAACGAAACTTTAAACAAATTTAACCAAATCATTTTGTTATTTCGTATGAAAATGTTTGAAAATGATGTTTTAGTGATGTAATTATTTACTAAAAACAGAAAAACTAAATAATTATTAACTACTTAAGTAAACCCTTATTTTAAAGAAAAATTAAAAACTACATATTTAATGATATACAAAATGTTTACATCATGTTTTTATGATGTTATATCCAAAAATACTCACGATTATTTTATATTTATAGCAATAAAATTCTATATTAATGTATATATATATATATATAATATATATATATATATATATATATATATATATACAATGCCGGCGCGATAGGGGTGTGTGGGGGTGTGTGACACCCCCCCCCCCATCAATGATTTTTAGTCGGCAAACTGGACCCTTAGTCGGCAAATCGGACCTTTTTAGACTAGTTGTCGGCAAATGTCGACCCTTTCGATATAGGTTAGACAGTCGGCAAATGTCGTAATGACAGTCAGCAAATTTTGTAAAAATGTTGTAATGGCACCCCCCCCCATGTGACACCTACTCGCGCCGGCGAGTAGGTGTCACATGGGGGGGGGGGGGGTGCTGTATATATATATATGCTGCAGGGGGCTATATATATATATATATATATATATATATATATATATATATATATATATATATATATATATATATATATATATATATATATATATATATATATATATATATATGTATATAAATATATATATATATATAAATATATATATATATATATATATATATATATATATATATATATATATATATATATATATATATATATATATATATATATATATATATATATATATATATATATATATATATATATATATATATATGGGGCTGCCCAATCCCCTCCCGCACCCCTCTAAAATAAAAAAAATTAAAATGCGATTGATCGTTGTTATTCCAACGGCAAAACTGTCATCCTAACGGTAATTCATTTTGGTTAACAGGAATTTTTTTTTTTTTTGTGGGTGATGTACCACATTGAATTATACATTTCACTGTGTCGATAGAAAACGAATTACGCTCATCTGTCTATTGAGTTTGAATTAATGAGAACAGGCGTTCAACATACTCATTATGCGGTCGAATAGCGAACAAGTATTGGCACATTTTCAACAGATTACTTTTTCTTTCCGTCTCTTCAGTCTTTATGAAACAGTTCAACCATTTATCGTGCACATATTTCATTTTCCGTTTTTTACACGGTTCTCTTTCAATAAAAGATTTCATATACACAATTTCCTCATAAATAGAATCCGTAAAAAATACACCCTTTCACTGAAATATGTAATGGTTTTTGTAACGTTTTTTTATTCGGGTACTTTGTTGAGAAGCATCCACGAAAAAACATCATACTTGGTCATTGGAACTGACCAAAATAGTTAATTATTTTGCCAAATAATTAATTAAAACGTTGAAAAAATTTTCTACATCATTTTCAAATTCTTCTTCTTGTGTTATAATAACTTCATTATATTTTTTTAAATTTATTGTACGCTTGGCTTGTTTTAATACCTAAAAACTTATTACTTAATCTTTCAGTTATTTGTCTTTTTTAAGTCCTCCAAAGTATTTTTCACTTCAATAAAAGTTATAATTGGTATTGTGGTTTATCCGCCTCCGGCTAATTGCCATATAGAGGCCACATTACCAAGGTCCGCAAAGACTAGTTTAGCTCCTAAAGAAGCGTCAAATAAAAGTTATACTCTCCTAAAGGAGAGTTTAACTTTTATTTCATTTTTTCCTATTTTAATGCAAGCCCTGTGTCAAGGCCGAGATTGGATTGAAGTCGGACCGACGTCGATATATCGGTTAAGCATCGGCCTAATATATAATATCGGTTAAGCGTAGGCTAAGCGTTTGTTGGCCGCCAAATAAGTTTACTTTGTTTAAAGTTAAAATTTATCTAGTATTATTTATATTATTTAAAAAAAACTTGTTAATTTATACAGTTATTTAATGTGGTAGAAAATAAATTTTTGTATTTTAGATGGTAATTTGTTGAAAAGTAAGTTACATTATAGATTTTAAAGTTTCTCTATAATTTTGATAATACATATGTTTTTTTGTTTAAATTCAATAGTAAGATTTTGATTAAATTTAACTTGATAAATATTAAAATTGATTTATAAGTAAAGATTGTGGTTTTTACTTATTTGTTTTTTGTTAGTGTTGTACTGCTAATGCTAAAGTGCTATAAAGTTACATTTTAGTTGGGTATTTTATTAAATACAAAATAAATATTTTAATTACATTTAATTGTTTAAAGTAAGATTTAATTTGTGACTTTTGATAATTTGTTTGTAAGTTGTTTTTTTTTATTTAAAGATGCAAAAGAAATCAAATTTAGTCAACTTATTCATTACGTAATTGATTTTTTTAAGAATATATACAAATATTTGTATAAAAAGGTTTTATCATTTTATAGACAATGCATTTAAGAGAATCAGACCCTGATCGTGAGAATTATATGTATATATATATATATATATATATATATATATATATATATATATATATATATATATATATATGTATATATATATATATATATATATATATATATATATATATATATATATATATATATATATATATATATATATATATATATATATATATATATATATATACATATATATATATATATATATATATATATATATATATATATATATATATATATATATATATATATATATATATATATATATATATATATATATATATATATACTTACCTGACTGGGGAAAAAGTCTGATCCACAAGGGGCTTTTCCCAGAGTGAGGCTTTTGCATTGCACTCCGCACTGGCTGACCTCTGCGATTACCGCTAACGTCCGTAACTCGACAGTACAATTTGTGGTACTATATATATATATATATATATATATATATATATATATATATATATATATATATATATATATATATATATATAGAGTTATAGTTTTATAACTGAATATATATTGTAGATAGTGTTTTTTTAAATGTAATTACTAAATATAATTTTTTTTGTGTAATTACTAAATATAAATTTTATTGATAAATAAAAAGAAATGTCAAGAACTAATTCTTTGGGTCAAGAAAGCAAATTTATGGAAGAAATTAATATCGAATTATTTCAAGTCATCAGATTTATCAAAACAATACAAACAACAGTGCAAATCAGTCGAAAAAATTGTTCAGCATAACCGTATTGAATACAAGAAGAAGATTATTGAAAAGTCAAAATACAATCCTATGATTATATTCTATGAGTATGTGAATTATATTCTATGAGTATGTTAATGCAAACAACAAAATTAAATCAGGCATAACGTCAATTTTCAATGAATTTGGCTATCTTCATACAAATAGAGAAGCAATTGCAAATATCTTAAATAAAAGTTTCAATTCTGTTTTTGTTCATTAAAATAAAGATAATATTCCACTTGTTACAACTAAAACTAATAAGACTATACAATTAGATGTAGACAATCTGATCACTCGTGACTCAATTGAAAAGAAATTAGAACAATTAGATATCAACAAATCTGTTGGTGTAGATGGAATTAGTCCATATGTAATGAACAAATGTCATAGCACCATTTGCGAACCATTAATACTAATGTTCAAAAAATCTCTAATAGAAGAAAAAGTACCCGAGTTATGGAAATTGGCAAATGTCACTCCTTTGTTTAAAAAAGAAGTAAAAAGTGATGCATCAAATTATAGACCGATTTCACTAACATCAATACCATGTAAAGTGTTAGAATCAATCATTAGAGACGAAATGATGAACTATTTATTGACGAATGGTTTACTAAATGAAAATCAACACGGATTTAGAAAAAATAAAAGCTGATGCTTTAGAAAATAATTGTTCTATAGATATGCTTTATCTGGATTTTGCTAAAGCATTAGATAAAGTACCACATGCACATTTAGTCCATAAATTAAAATCATATGGGATTATAGGCAACTATCTAAAATGGATAGAAGAGTTCTTAAGCAATAGCAAACAGAGAGTTGTTCTTGAGGACCGTGTATCAAATTGGTTACCAGTTATCAGCGGTGTACCTCAAGAATCAGTTCTGGGACCGTTACTATTTCTGTTATTCATAAATGATCTACCGGATCATGTGAATAACAACATGAAACTTTACGCCGATGATTGTAAAATTATTAACATAATAAGCAATTCATGTGATGCTAAAAAACTTCAATTAGACATAGACAATATCATGGCATGGTCATCTTGGCAAACAGAATTTAATTATGACAAATGCAAGATTATGCATATTGGAAGAAAAAATCCTAATCGTCTGTTCATAATGCATGATATTGACACCAATTTAAATCACAGCATATCAGTTACTGAAACTAAAAGAGATTTGGGTATAATGATACAATCTGATTTAAAATGGAAAACTCAAGTTGATGCAGCGGTTAGCAGAGCAAACTCAGTGCTTGGTATTATAAGAAGAACATTCAAATACGTTGACACACATATGGTGAAAAAGTTATACATAACATTTGTTTGGCCACACCTTGAATTTGCGATTCAAGCTTGGTGTCCATTTTTAAGACAAGACATCGATAAAATTGAGAAAATCCAAAGAAGAGCCACAAAGTTAGCACCAGCATTAAAAAAAATACCATATGAGAAAAGATTAGATATTATGAAATTAACAACTCTAGAAGAACGGCGAATACGTGGCGATCTAATCCAACAGTATAAAATTCAACATGGGTTTGATAAAGTAAAATGGGTTTCAAACTACAATTATACCTCCTCACAATAAGGCCCCCATCTGAGGCAACATAAATTCAAATTAAAAAAACTATTCTGCAAGAATATTATCAGATCAAATTTTTTCTCTAATCATATAGTCAACATATGGAATAATCTACCGAGTGACATAATAGAAGCAGAATCAATAAATCAAATTAAAAACAAACTAGATAAATCAAATATTTGCAAAAACATTTTATTACAAAATTGTTTTTAAGATAATTTGGTTTAGAGATTTAGGAATTGTGCAAAGCTGATACAGTGCAATATCAACTGTTATTGCGCTCCACAACTGTTAACACCAGTTGTTACAGCTACCTCTTATTATGTATTATTATTAATGATGGGTAAGACATATTACAGAACCATCATCTCGTTTCATTGTATCATTACAAACAATAAATGTATGAATGATATTTTTTTTACACACAGCAGTTTTATTTAAAGGAACTAAATTTTCTTGAGGAATTTGACGAATCCATAAATCTTTCATATTTGGATTGGTTGAAAATTTAAAAACACTAATTATTTCACACTTTAATAAAATTGATTAAAATGTACTAAATTCATAATAAACTGCATTGAAAATATAAAAACTAAATCTTTATTATTTACAACTTGATATTTGAAACAAATAAATAATCACATCAGACTACTAAAGTGATGTCATAAGAGTTTTTTAATTTCATGAGCAGGCCTTCTACTTTAGAAGACCTTGAATAAACATCTTTTGAACGTCTTTTTCGCGTCAAATAAATTTTTCGTCCAAAAACGATCCAGAATGCTTTATTAAATCAAAATTAAACTAATAAAATCACGCAATCATCAAGACTTAGGTATTTTTGTTAATAAAAAACGCTTTTTTAATACAAATGTAAAAAAAACTTCCAAGTGTAAAAGAACTTTCAAATGTAAAAGGAGTTTTTTATAGCATCTCGAAATAATAAATAAAGAGTGACTAAAAGAAAGGTTCTTGATTATATATATATATATATATATATATATATATATATATATATATATATATATATATATATATATTATATATATATATATATATATATATATATATAAATAATCAAGAACTATTTATATATATATATATATATATATATATATATATATATATATATATATATATATATATATATATATATATATATATATATAATATACATATAAATAATTCTTTATTATATATATATATATATACTCGAACAAATATGCTAATAAGGCGCTTTTACAGGTGTTCAAGCCTAGTCGAAGTAAGACTATTCCAATCACATTTTATATGTATATATAATGCTTCCTTATGGAACAGTTTTAGCACAAGAACATTAGCTACGATATTGCTATAACAAATGTTCAAAAATGTTTTTTGGATATAGAAAATATTGCAGTCTGACTCAGATGTTTTTAGAGTTAAGGCTCCCAACTTTTGAGACTATTTTATTTAACTATATGATCAATTTAGAGAAACAGCTTGTTGAGTGTGCCAAAAGAAATCTCACTTATGGTTTAATTAACAGAATATTAGAACTGTCCAAATGATGGATAATTTTAGATGACTGTATCTGTTCTTTTTATTGACTATTTTTTTATTTATTTTTATCTATGGACCTTGTGCCTATTTATATGTACATGTTGTTTGAATTAAATACATTAATAATTAATATATATATATATATATATATATATATATATATATATATATATATATATATATATATATATATATATATATATATATATATATATATATATATATATGTATATATATATATATATGTATATATATATATATGTATATATATATATATGTATATATATATATATATATATATATATATATATATATATATATATATATATATATATATATATATATATATATATATATATATATATATATATATATATATATATATATATAACCAAGCCTAATTCACTAACTAAATACCTATTTTTTTCTTTGAATCAAATCAATAATGCAAAATGGTTTTCTATACAATCAAAAATGTAAATAAAAACTATATTAAATCTTGTAATGGTTACAACTTTTATGAAAAGTGTTCCATTTATGAAACTTATGAAGGAACAATTGCATTTAAAAAAGAAATTTTTTACACACCTATCTCTTATATAAATCAACTGTTACGACTGGTTTAGTTTTTTAAATTAAACTCATTTGAATCTTTTCCAAAAAAAAAATCACACAAATGAATAAAGGCTATAGTTGTACCAGACATTTTCAAAATCTGCTTTAAATAATCCTTTAAAGATAAATGTAATTAATTTTACTATTTTATATTTCATTCTTTAAAAGTTCCAAATAAATAATTATAATTAAAATTAATATATATATCTGTTAGTTGATAAAATTTATGTTTTAGTAACTTATCCTACTTCAAATTAGAATGAGAAAAATGTATTTAAAGATGGAAAAGAGTTGATTTTTTTTTTTATATGAATGAATTTTTGATTATTTATGGTTTTTATTTTTACCATTTAGCAAAAAAGTATATAATACAGCAAACATTCAAAGCGGAATTTCAGTTGACCTATATAGGCATTGTAGGTGGTTGCAGTTTTGGTCATCATATACTTAATGGACCGTTAGTGGCAGCAGCCAAAAGTGGATAACAAGTGTAACCACTATATCACTTGTTGGAATGTTATCAGCTTGCCTCTTAAGTAATTTACTAAGTAAATGATGAGTTTAACTCCATTTAACTGCTCAGAATGCCTTTATAGGTCCACTGCAAATCCATTACAACAATGTTTGCTGATAAAGTTTCAATATGTAGTCATGTGAGTATTGTCGTATATATTCAGGGTTCCCAATCCTCCATAAAAACCATAAATATCCTTGGAAAAAAAACATCCTTAAAAGTTTTTAAATAATCTTTAAAAATGTTAAAATTTAACTGCTCTCCTTAATTTACTTTTCTATAAATTTTTGTTTTATTAATTGAAAATTTATTTATAAACATATAATATATATGCATTGGTCTTAAAAACTACTATTATTTATGTAACTCTTTATTTTTTGAGTTAATTTTTATACAATATTTCAATGGAGTTGTCAAGTATATATATATATATATATATATATATATA